CAAAACCGAAAGAGAGCCATAGAAACTAGCTCCTAGTTAGATGAAAAAACACAGCTAGAGGGTGCCGTTGCAGAGGAAGGAGTCACTAGCGGAGCACGACGATTTTAAACAGGCTTTACACAGGCGAGGATTCGGCGGGGAAACACAGGAGGCAGCAGTCAAAATGGACAGCAAATACAGTAATTAGATCACAAAACAGACAGTCGAAAAAAGAGGAAAGGGGCAACGGGATAGTGGCAAAAAGAGAAGTTGGAACGTGACCGAAGAGAAGGAAGCGAGGAGCTGCAAATAAAATGAAGTGAGAAGTCGACTAGCAAACACATTGCAGGTCAAGACTTTAGGTCGCAATTAAATTTCAGATTCATTACTTTTCTTATGATCTGTAAGTATGTTTTCGCAGTAAAAATATTTTCCATTAGGTAACGAATACTTTTTAAACGATTATAGCTAGACAAATAGTTTGTAATTAGGGTTTAAATATTAAAATATATTATGAATTACTTTTAGTATTATTATAAAAATATAACGATTCTTTGTATTATATTAAGCAAAGAGTTTTATATATGTAATATTACTTGTTGTAGGATGTAAACAAGTTACAATAACCACAACCTTTATAGTTAATTTCTCTCAAGTGTTTCCCTGTTTATATGCATTCTTAAAAATTGATTTTTTCAATTATTTTCATTAATTGCATGAAGCTCTAATACAAGCACCAAAATTAATTAGAGTTTATTGATACAATCCTTGTGTAATAACCTAATTAAGGTATATAAGCTTTGCTATTTATATTAAGAGCCTTATTTAATTGAAAACAACCGAGTTAATTAGCTTCCGCAAAGGATATTGCCGCCTTGTAAGGCTAATCCCATTTGGCAGCGTAACAAAGTCTGTCCCGCTCGCAAAATCTCACTTCCTGCCAAGAAAAATATATATAAGAAACATAAAAACAAAACCGAGTTGCATGTGAGGCAGCTTCCTAATCGACAACAATAAAAACAAAATCAAAACACAATGGACACATTCGTGTGTGCGAAAAAACTAAACTCAATTACTCAACAAACATAGTAACCTAGTTCATAAAAAGCAACTGCAACAAATGCTGTTAACAGCGGTGGCCAACAAGAAAAGCAACAAATTCATTTTCGCCTCTGTTGTTATTTTTGTTTTAAGTTTTTTCCTAGCTTTTATTGTTGTAGTTTGTTGCTGCTTTCCACGAGAAAAGTCCTTCAAGCGTGACAATCACATGGAACGAACGCCGCTGTTGCTGTTGCTGATTTATCGTTTTCATTTTGCAGAGCTTGTTGGATGTTGTAAAAGGAAATGTCAATTCTGCTGCTGCTGCCCGTTTGCCAAACAATACTGGCCAAATAAAAAAAAAAAACCAAAATAGTGGTAGGTACGAGGCAGGAACTGCCGAAGGGGCCATCATCATGCACCCACTAATGTAAGGCACATAACAAATTTCGTTGTTGGCCAACTGGCTACTTGAAAAATATACAGAATATCGTGTCTTACCACTTGGCAGCTGGCCGAAGGGCGCACTTCAAAAATATGATTTACATTTGGCAAAATAGGTTTAATATATACAAGCTCTAAGAGGCTACAAAAGGCTTTAAAGTAGAATCTATTAAGGAATTTAAGGAATAGATTAAATGGTTCTACAAATGAAGAAAATATAAATATTACTACTTTTTATATTTTATCACTAGTAGAGTTTCTTCAAGTGGAGCCTAAAATCAGATTTGGAGATTCTTGGCCGCCCTTCGTGGAGACTTTCTCCTTCGAAGAGTGAATACGAGGCACAGTCTCCTTGCGTGATGTCCAGCAATGTGCCCAATCCTGTTTGGAGACCCCTCTCCTCTGAGCTCCCTGAAGTGGTTGAGGTGGTTCTTGTTTCTTTTTTTTAACCATGCCAGAATTTGTTAGTTTAAGAAGAACAACAGGAAAGCCAAGAATCGCTGCGGAGAATGCGGAGAAGACACAAAGCAAAGCGCCGTTCCAGCCTGGGAATGGGAATGGGAATAGGAGGGGGAAGCCATGGTTCTGGTATACATGGACTTGGGTCTTGGTACTTGGGAACTTGGGACCTGAAGCTCTTTTGGGGATCGTGAGTCAGCAGAGTTTTTGGCAAAGAAATCTGCTAGGAATATATAAGCCCCAATGATGATTTATTGTTTGGCTTATTAGAACGAGAGGGAGAACTGCTTGGACGGCGATAGGAGATCGCTTTCATGCCGGGGATTTATGCTGTTGACTTTTGAGAGCCGCAGCCGTGTCTTATATTGGAGCTTAGTGACTCACCTCCGGCTAGAACTTTTCACATTATTCTCTTTTTCTATGGGTACACAAAAATATGTAAGTGGGTACATTTAAGCACATTAACTTGGCAGGGATGTTGCCATAGTTCGAAGCTACCATTAGTTTATACTGTACGTTTTATGTTCAAAAGAAATCATGCAAAACAGCAATTGTTTTGTTAATGGATCATGTTTACACGCTGCATAACAAATTAGAAACTATTAAAAAGCATTAGTTAACAGTTTACATAATCTAATCTAAGGGAAAACATAACAACCGCTACGCTTTAAACCATTAATTATCTTGCAAATTATAAGCAACGGCTTCTTAATGGATCACTTTACGTAGCTATGTGCTGTATAGGAAGTTATAAATTAAACATTATCTCCAATTCCATTTGTCTTAAAAAATATAGATATTGTTATTGAAATTAAAGGACGTTCAATAAATTAAAATTCCAAACATTTTTGATTCTGAATTGATATTAAGAGCGCGAATCGCTAGCCCCAGGCCAGAGTCTCCGTCTCTCACTCTTGGCCTTCCGCTGGCTTTCTTGGAAACGCGCTCTTGATCGGATTCCGATTCCAATTCGGGCTCGCATTCAATAACAGATTTATGCATTGGCCATGGCAATCTAATACGAGCCACAATAAAAGCTTGGATATGGCCATTTGGCAACACGTCAACAGCGGCAACAGTAACAACAACCACAGCCAAGGCAATGAACGAAACGTGCCAACGTCTAAAGATCGCTGATAACTCCGAATCGAGGGAGTTATAGCCACATTTTGGGTGTTTAGGGGCACGTAGGGGGAGTCGAACGGAGGACCATTCGATCCAGACTATGCAAAGAAAGTTTTATTTTTGTTTTGCCGCAGGACACACAGTTGCCACAGAGTTCGGACCTGACCGCAGCTTCCAAATCATTTGTATATGGGAAAAAGTTTATAAACTATTGCCAAGATCGAAAAATTAGCTTGAGTAATTCTCCTTGTCCCTCCGTACTTCCAGTTCATTAAAGGTGTTCATAGTATTGACGATTATACAAATAAACATCTCGAATTTTAATTTATTCCTCCTCCGAAGTATGAGTCCTTCGAGCCGGATCTTTTTCACTTCTCGCAGCTTTGGTGGCTACACAAATACCGGTAGATAGGCGCAAAACTTTAGATTAAGGGAAATACGTTGTGCTCGCATACAATACCCTGATCTATATCATTATTATTAAGAAGTAACTAATATAATTTAATTATATAATAAATAGATATTAGTTATGTACTGATTAGTTATACACATTATTTTTAAACCCTTTCTGCACTTCTTTAATTCGTTTTTTTGTTTCCATTGAGCTTATTCTGGCCTGCATCGAAGCCTAAGCGATTGTAAATATTCATAACTCAGAAGCACCTGAAGCCTGTCTTAATAAAAAATCCTCAAACTGGATTTTTCAAACCCTGGCGGTAGTTTCCCCCAGAGAAACTTTTCAGAAAATCTGCATATAAGCTGCAGTAGCTGCTCCTGCTGCTGCCTACTGTGAATGAGCACCGATCGTGGGCAGCGGAAAATCAGCAGCCGGTGGAAAATTCAGTTGGCCGAAAGGGGGGGAAAGCGGAGAGGGACTTGGCCAGGCTGCCGCATTTGGTTGACGATTTTTATGGCTGGTTTTTTCTTGGCGTTTGTCTTAACGGTTATTTCTCCTTTTTTTTTGGTTGTTGACTGCCATTAGCAATTAATAGTCGGCACGAGAAATTTGCATTGCAAAAGGAAAGTGACAAAAAAAAGGCGACGAAGTAAAAATATATATATATGGCCAGTAGCGATCAGCGATCACAGATCACAAATCACAGATATGCAAGGATGCTGGGTGTTCGTTTGGTTGGCTAATTGTTATGTATGTAGGGTATATTTCACGCCACCGAAAAAAGTGATAGTGATGGCGATGGTGAGAGTGAGAGTGACACCTGTTGCACCTCGGATGCGTGACCGAGGTGCGTGCGGTTGCTGGCCATCAGCCATCGGCCATCAGGCATCAATCCTCAGGCTCATCGGGTTCAATTTGATTCACCTGCCGCAGCCTCACTGCCACTGCCACTCGATCGATCTCTTGCGGGGCAGACGCATTAAGTTTCATGTGCCGCCATTATTTTAAATTATGCACACGAGCGAAACTCGAAAACTCAAACGAGACTCGGCATAAGTCAAAAACTTCATTTGCATACTTATAAGCACACTGTGTGTGTGTGTGCTGTGAGTGTGCGTTTGTGATTGTGATTGTGGAAAATTGTTTAACACGTTGGGCTCTCTGTCTCTTTCTGGACTTAAATTTGATGGATTGTGTGGCCACAGGTTGATGATTTCATTAGTTCCAGGGGAGCGAGAGCAGGTGTTCGGCGCTATAACGAGGCGAAATTAAAAACGGTATTTATAGGTATCTTGAGTATCTCGAGGATACATTCGAACTGGCCGTCACGAAAGGTGGGAGTGGATTACAAATTATTATATAAGGCAAGAGTTGGGAGTAAAAGACTCCCTTGAAGAAATAACTTTCCCAACGATCGAAAAGTGCAAAACAAAAAATTAAGAAGATGTGTCTTAAGATTCAAAAACCCAAAAGGAATTTTCTTTAAATAGTAATTAGGTAAATTGCATAATAATCAAATTTTTTTAATAATTAAATAATTCAAGTGCAATGTACATACAGTTATATGAATTGAGAAGTCTTCTAAAACAGATAATAATATTAGAGTTCACCGGGCTTGTCCATATGTTATCTGAAATAATAAAATATAAAGAGTTTGATTAGTATAAAAGGCTTGTAAATATTTTCTAGTCAGTATACCTATACCACACACCTTAAAATGAATTAAGAACCATTTCCAACGGATTATTGTTATAATTGATTGGCACCTTCCTTTCTCCTTGATAAATATTTACCCCCAACCGAATCTATGCGGTTAGCCGAGCTATATATCTATCGTAAAACCCATGTAAATCAGATCAAATGGATGCGCCACCTCGGCGGCAAGACAAACACACATTTCTCATTCAACAGAAATACGCGCCCACAAAACTCCCACTTCGTTAGAAACTATTTCCACCCGCTGATGACACATTACTGTCACTCAGCGTTATGAGCTAAATTTATTGATGCAGCCCGGCGGTTTCCCGGCTTTTCCCCCCGGCACCTCCCCTTCAATTTTCTCGTTAGCCCGAAAGAATGTTTAATGTTTTCTTCGTGTCAGCGCATGCCAAAAAGTATTTTTTCAAGAGGCCTCCTCCTTGCATGGGGAAATGTCACGGGGATCTTTGGCTCTGCGACGACTTTCCACCATGTGGAAGGGGGGGTAAAATCTCATAGGTGCAGCGCGGGGAATGAAAAACAAGACCGGAGAAAAAGACTCATTTCGTAATAATGTTGCCAGGAAAATGAAGGAAAAACACACATGACCAAAGAAGCTGAAATAAAAACAAACGATAAAGGAAGCTATTTGGTTTTAAGGTGAATGTTGGATACCCTTGGAGAAGAAGAAAAATAATGGTATATAATTAATAGTACATATTGAGTATAAGATAGAAGCTTTTATCACTATTAAGGGTTTATTATTTTTTAAACAAGTAATATAGTAACAAGTAAAAGTAGTAACAAGTAAAAGTATTAACATGTAAAAGTTGGGGCTACTTTTACAATTTTAAAGCTATTCTCAGCAAGAAATAATATTCTTTAAAACCTAGATATATCTCACTCACTGCAGATCAAAATTATAATACCCTCTGGTTAGGGTATGGAATAAAGAAAACGAAATCGCTGACATCTTTGCTAACTAAAAACACACACTAGAGAAGCGAAACGCAGGGCGACAGACAGGGAAAAGCCCCAGTAATTTATAGGAGAATTCCTTTGGAATTTATGTGCGGAATCATGACATAAATTAACCAGCCAAGTGTGGAGCGGCTTGCGTGCTAAAGTGGTTCGGCGGTTCGGTGGGTTAGTGGTGCAAATTGGGCTGATGCAACCGCCCGCGCAGGTATTTAGTTGAATTATCATAATTATTTGTAATTATTCAACATTTTGTTAAGCGAATGAAACTAATCGTTTTTTATTTTCGTATCTCCTTTGGCTTTCTTCGCTCTTCGCACTTTCTTCCAGTCACTCACTTGCCTTCTGCCTTTTCGCTCTCTTCTTAGCCTGCCTCTGCTGCTGTAATCATTTAGTTTGAAATCAACTTTTGTTTTTAATTTTATGTAATTGCCGCTTAATCACAGAGCAATTAAAATGCAACGCAAGTTTTTTGGGGGCGTCCAAAGTTTCTGAAGCGTTTCGAGATTTGTCTCGGATTGGATTCGTATTTTTATTTTTATTTTTTTCGGCCTTTTGGCTTTTCATTTCCATGGCGTGCCATGGATAATGGGGTCAAGAGCTTCACCAAGGAGCAACTGGCAGGTTGGGTCTGCTGCTGCTGCTGCTGCTGCAACGGTTTTCCAGCTCCATCGATGAGGCTACATTGCGTAATCATTCATAATTCGCTGTCCACTTGGCTGTCCACTTCAGTTGCACATTTTGCCGTCCCGCTCACACGCTCTCCGCCGATCAAGTGCATATAATTATGCGATGAATACTCTATATATTAGGGCAAGATATAGGAGTCCCATGGTGAATATGATGCGGCATTTTGAAAAATTCTTGACTTAATATAAAGCTTAATGATTGCTGCTTGCTACCAGCACTACAACTTTATTTGTTAACTTGTTCAACTAATTATATAGATATATTTTTTTGATTTTACTAAAGAATAGGGTATACATTATGTAAATAAAATCAAATCATTATGCTGACAATAAAGACATATTAAATTCTGGTAAGCTACAATTAGGTTATTATTAATCCTTCCTAAACCAATATAACTATAAAACCAACTTCAAATCGCAAATCTTGAATATTCTATTGTATTTTCATTAATATCCAATTTATATCAATTGCTTCTAGAAACCATTTCCCGCCAATAAACCAATAAACAATTAACTGCTATAATGGCAATCAAGATAATGGCCCCCATTTCTCCAAGAGAAGCAATTTCAGAGAATCTCAGCGGTCGACTGGCATTTTCCTGCCTTACGACCGCCTTCCTGGCGTTTCTGGGCCACCGAAGTTCGTGTTTGTTTTCCACAGCTCTGAACTGGCGGCGACCATTTAAATTGTCTTCAAAAGCGCACATTACATAATTAAGACAGCAGCACACCACCATCGGCCGGCATAAGCAGATACAAATACAGAAAGAGTCCGGCGTTTTAACCGCCGCTGTCTGTCCGGCAGTTGAGTTGCCTGACTGACTGACAGGCCATCAACTTCAACAAAATGCTCAACACCTCGCCAAGAGCCGCTGGAAGAAGTGTACAAGAAAAAAGTCGAACGAAAAGCCAAGACTTTCCCACTTGGAGCAACTCTATTTTTTCGATGCATCATCGCATAATCAAAGAGTCATAAAAACCAATAATCATTATTAAGCAAAACAAGCCAATTAATGCAACAGCCACAGCAATACAGCAAAACAGCAGCGCCTGCGCCTGCAGCAGATGCAGTAATTAAATGAAAATAAAACGCCACAAGATTTGGCCAACATTGCGACTTGGCCAGGAGCGAGACAAGTCTATTATGGGGTTTTCTGAGCGCCGAGCTTTATATTATAATTATAACAGCTCTGGCAGACCCGACTGGCTCCCAGTTCAAATATTTTTGCTAATTTTGCCATTTGCGTGTCATAATAAAACGATAAACTGTAGCGGAAGGCCGCAAAGGAAGTTGCAAGTCTGAGTTTTCAGTGAATGGAAACTTTAATTACCCTAACGCTGATGTTTCTGGGGCAGATATGTATATAAAACCAGAGATTTTATGTGTTTATTGGGAATATGTTTCTTTACATAAACATGTACTAATTTATATTTTAAGTGCTGTAATTAAGTGCTTTGCTTATTTTCCATAATAAGCCAGGTTTATTAAAGAATGTATTTACATAATACTATTTCCATTTTTATTTTATATTATTTTACTTTTAGAACATTTATTTAAAGAAGTTAGAACACAGTAAACTTAATTTATACGAATGTGTTACGGAATATTATTTGGAAATGTAATTTAATTCCAATATTGACAACTAATTAAATTTGTATTTAAATTAATAAACATCTTTGACAAATGTTAATTTACCACTTCAAAGGGTATCGTGAATCAACGAAATGAAAAACCGGAAAGAATGCTGACTGTCCCGCGTGTCCATTCCAATTAGTGTGGAAAATAAAGTGGAAAATTGTCAAATTGATTGGGCATTGGGCGCGGTGGGACCGAGAATGGGTGAGAAATATTAAACGGAGTGCGTCCTGTTGCCGCAATTTACAAATCAAGTTTGCTCGCATTGAAAATTAGTGAAAGTTGCGCCCAAGTTGTGGCTGCTGTTTGGGTTGTTTTGGGATTTTCTTTGCCTATTTTCTTTTCTTTACCATTTTTTTTTTTTTTTTTTTTTTTTTATGTTGGCCAGTTGGAACTCGGAACGGTAGCCCAAACCTAGGGCAATATCGTGTCGGCAATCGCCGCCAATCGGATAGGCGGGGTGATCGATGAGGAAGAAATGCGGGGAAATGGGGAAAAACCCCAGCGGCGAGCGCAGGTCCGAAGGGCAGCTGGAGGTCAGAGCTAATTGATTGGGAAAACCATTTCTCGGATTCGACGTCTTAGGCCGCCATTAACAAGCATTGAAAACATATGAACCGGCCCGTGGCTAATCTGGTTAATTCCATTAAGTGGCCCGGCGAAGATCCAGAGATTTGACCATAATCGGGTAATTGGCCAGATTGTTTCAAAATTAACTTGGGTTGTAAATACTGGAGGGAAATCTTCATCGTAGTACTAAATCCATCACAGGTGAAATTTAAGTTTAGGCTTTAAATCAAAGTGTCAGGCTGGTAGGGTTAAATTTGTAGCTAATAAAGTGTTTTACTGCGAGTATAGAGTGTCGCTTGCAAAAAATACAAAATTAGGTAAGGATAGGCACCTTTTTACGTAAGAAATAAAGCAGGAGACAGATTTTTATAGGAAATAGCTGTTAATCTAAGCTAACCTTTAAGTTTAACCTCATCTTCGAGCCATGTAATCTCTTAACCATCGGATGATTTTTGTTTCCCATGACTAATTCAAACTATTTCCAATCTCCAGCCAAAACTCTTTCACCTGTTGAAAAATTCAGTAATTCCTTTCGACGTGCATTTCAATTTAAAACATTTCGCAGTGCGTTTCATCCAAAGTTTTTGGCTGTGGTATTCCATCCGAAGCTCGGCTCAAGACTTGGTACCATTTGTCAAGTTTGCCTTTTGGAGTGCTGAATTTTTCATGTGCATTTAATTAGTTGAATTATGGCTGCGAAATGCGGCGACTGGCTATTGGCAGTGGCAGGCACTGTCGGAGCAGCGGCTTTAAACATTACAATCTAATAAAAAGTCGGAGAAAATAAAACTTAAAAAATACAACTTAATGAAAATGAAGTAAACACTCTGTGCGCGGCCATATTGTGCGACAACTTTCGCGAAATAATTTTTATTGACTCCCGTCCAGTTGGACAATGGACCCGCTTGGGATGTCAGTCGGAAAAATCGCAAGAAATCACCTTTCGCCATTTCCATCCTTAATGTTGTTGTTTTTCGCGGGCGGCTAATTACAGGGGGAGTGAGACCACAGAGGCTGAAAGCTAATCTTTCGATTGTTTTTCCAAATATTTTTGTTATG